AACTAATTGCGTTTTTTGTGGGTTTTGAACTGGGAAGGCTACTAGTTCGAACCTAGGGCATATCTTGAGGATTCTCAGACTTTGTACTCGTTTTTCTTCATTGCAAAACATATTTCTCTCATCTTTTCTCTTAGATTTGATCTTGGATAGTGAAAACTCCAAGATTTTACCCTTGGATTTGGATTGCTCGTTGTTTTTCGACATTGAATTTGTTATTAATCGTAACCTTCTCTTTCATTTCATTGATGAATGTTATGGCTTTGCTTGATATGAATGTTGATGTTGAATTTGTGATGAGTAGCTAAATCATTATGCTAGGGATAGGGGATTAATGATTTTATTTCGATTGTGATTGCAGAGTTCGTTGTTTATTCTTCTTATGCGAGTTGATCTTTTAAAAGGGTTTTTCAATTGTCGTACATGAATATTGAGGATTGTTGAAGGGTGACACTTCAACTTCCAATTGATTTTCAATTGAGTTCGATTTATTCTTGCATGATGTTGGGTATTCTAATGGATTAGTCGGTTAATCTCCCTCTAGTCTATATTAATCAACTCTTGGAACCGAAAGGGGAGGAGTCGGTCGAAATAGGCTCGTATAAGCTAGGCTTGTTCGTAACTGTATTGCCTAGGTGTAAAATGACTTGTTAATTTGTTGTTCAAGTTTGTCCTCTTGTTACGAAGAGTTATTGAAGATGAGTACTTGAACGAGCAGGTTATTCAAATCACTTAACCGAACAATCACTTGCCCGACAATTGCATATCAAATCAAGATTATTATCCCCGATTCCCTAGCTACCTTATTCTAGTTGATTGATTGCTTTTACTCTGCTTTCTGAATTTGCGTTTTTTTTTATCTTCGTAGTTGTTAATTAAAAATCAAACCTAAAATCTGAGTTAGAATGTTTAGGAATTTTGTTTCTCTTTTTGTGGTTGAATAAACGTGCAAAGTAATCTGACTAACCTTCCTCGAAAGACACGATCCGGTGTTCGAATCAGTTGATTCTACTCCAGTAAATATATTTATAACAGAAGTGGCATTGGCTTTTGCTTGAGATGACTTGCCCCCAGCAAGTGAGTCGGTCCGCTTATATGCTCTTCGGCTGGATAGTTGTTGTATTCGGCTTGATAGGATAGAGATCTCCTTCACATTGGCCTTGAAGCTATGCATACATTTTAAAAAGCTTCCAAATAAACTATGCATTAAATGTTCGCGAATAATTTTTGCTGCTATTTTTAGAAAATCTTAATCTCTTTATATATGTAGTTAACTTTGGGTCAATACAAGCACTGAAGGCTGAGGACTTTGGGCCACCTTTTGGGCCTGCAGGCTTTGGAATAAATATTCCAAAGCCTGCAGAAGAATCCAAAAAATTGAGGACTTCCGTACCATCCTCGGTAGTAGCCCGACAGAATTCACCATCTCGGGATCCGTGCAACCCTCCACCTGCAGCAGTCCATCAGAAATTGTCGTCTAGGGCTCTGCGCGACCCTCCCCTGAAGCAGTTTGCTAAAAAGCGCCGTCTAGGGCTGCGTGATTGGGCGGATATTGGTAATCAAAACCCTCCTCAGGCCGCCGTTGGCTCAAAATCGGACCGACCCTAGGGTTTCCTTGTCGTCGCGCTCGCCAGCATGTCTGAAACCACCTCCAGCCCGTCGCTGCTCGCGAACTCGGAGCTGACCTAAGGTGTCGTCTCCTTGCCATGGTGGTCGATCTGTAAACGGGTTAGCCGACCCGGTAGAGTCGCCAACGTCGTTGCCATTTAGAGGTGGCGGGGATCGCTGCCGGGGCGCCTCAACATGGCTGCTTCCCCCACGTCCGCCTTTGTCTCCCCCGCGATTGCCACGGCCCACAGCATCATCGCGATTCGTCTGTAATTCCGAAGGAACCACGTTGTTAAGCGTGAAATGCAAATCCTCGATCCCCGTCGAAAGATCGGCAAACCAACCCGCGAAACGCACGTCTACTTGTTGAAATAGTCGATCTGTTGAAGGTTGCGTCACGTCGTTCGTTTGCGGCATCTTGTCGTCCCGGTCAAACGCAAATCCTCGATCCCCGTCGAAAGATCGGGCAAACCAATCCGTGAAACGCACGCCCACTTGTTGAAATTGGTAGTCGATCTCGTTGCGTCAATCGTTCGTTTGCAGTATCTTGTCGTCTCGGCGGCATCGCGAATCGTACTAACTGCTGATACCAATTAATGTAGAGAAGCGTACGAGTTGGAAAGATAAACAAGATACTCTCTCGATACAACTCACAAGAGTCAATCAATTCTTATTATCAAATTCACCACCTCATAACAAAGCAGAAAAACCCTTTAAATAAGGCCCTCAAACTAAACTATAACTTATTCTCTAAGCTAACTTACTCCGTTGAGGGTCTTTTTAGTTTTGTCGGTGTAGTTGATTTGTGTGGTTGTGTTTTTGTTGTTTTAGTAGTTGTTTTAGTGCGTGTTGCCCGAGTATTACCCCGTTGGGGTCGGCTCTAGGCGATCCTCGGATCTGCCTCCCAGTTTTATAGTCTCTGGTTGTACTATTCAGCCTTTGGCTGCTTTTTCTTCGCACTTGGTGCGGTTTAATATAGTATCTCTATCGTTTTGGAAAAAAAAAAAAAGCAGAAGANTTCATTTAATTTAATGAATAAAATGAGTTAAGGTTAAACATAAGTTGATTGAGTGGAAATTCTGATTTGATATTGAGTTTGTGAATGGATATGAATTAAAATGTAATAGTCAAAGTTGATGTGATGTAAAAGTGATAGAATAATGATCGATGGTTAAAATTATGAGGCCTCGTTTACTTCCCGGGATGGGATTAAACACATTAGTCCCATCCCTTTCCACGTCAGCACAAAACGATTTTAATGCAATCTCAATCATGTGTTTACTACACATGATAAATTTAACAGTTGTGGAATTAAAAGACAAATATACCCTCCTCATCCAATACACTATTATCATCTGCCTCATTCAACACTCCTCGTCGGCGACCTTTTTTCCCAATTTCAAAATCCATTCCATAAATTTGTTCGCCAGAAATCCGCCGGCCACTTGCACAGAAAATTGGTTGAGGAGCGTGTAAGCAGGAGGGGCGACGACGACTCCTTCACTCTGCAGATAACGCTTGCATAAAAAAAAAAAAATTAAAAACATAATTCAAAAAAGTAAACAAAAAAAACATACCTTCATAATATGTATGAGCTTGAATTAACAAACTCATTTTAGGATAACTGAATGAATAGAAGATTACCTTCACCTTCACTGAAGACCGAATTCCATGAACTAGGGTTTCTGCGGGGGAAAAAAAACAATTAGCAATCAAAGAATCCGATTTAATGGACCACTATGGTTTAAAATTTCACGAATGGAATCTCAAATTAATTCTAAGACCTTACCTTTGGCATGATGAGTATCCACTGCCGCCAATGTCAATGGCCTTCTTCCTGACAAATTAAAAGCTCTTGGAAAAAAGAGGGCAAATGGCAGTTTCAGATTTTATATGGTACATTGGTAATTAAATTAAGAAGGGGGGTATTTTAATCTTTTCAAGTCCGAAATTGAGGGTAAAATGGTCATACCAAGTCTAGGATTAAATTATCTCATGGGGGAGGCGGGACAGAATTAGTCGGCAAATAGCGGATATAGAAGTGGGACCCGCAGCCACATGTGCGCCACATCACACAAATCCCATCCCGTTCCCTCAAGGTAAACACAGGATAATCCAGGACAATTTTAATTATCCTGTCCCATCCCGTGAAGTAAACGAGGCCTGAGAGTATATGAATAGTAAATTTTGTTAAAAATTGTGTAGTAATGGTCAGTTGATATTATTTAATTATGTTAATAATACTAAGAAGAGTTAAGTTGAATTAAATTTGAGTTAGAATTTTGAAATAAATATTTATATCCAATTGTCGTTCCGACCAAAATAATTATCCAGCTCCCAATAAATTATTTATAAAATTATAATTGTGTGAGATTGCTAATAAGCATCGAAAACACGAATTATGCTACAAGACATAAATTTTGATGTAGGGTTAATTATTTTACACATCACATTACCTTTTAAATGATGTATTTTCACCTCATTTTGGTCATCCATTATGTCACTGTGTTATGTTATTAGAGCATCTCCAATGCTCAACTTTCAACATTAATTAAATTTGAACATATGTCAATCAATGGATTAATGTTTAATCTACATGAACTGAATGTTAAAAGAATAGGACTTTCATTTGAATTGTTGCCTCCAATGTATCCATTCAACAACCATACAATTTGTATATGTGGATGTATTCAATTATTAATAAAATCAAAGAGTATATTAGAAAAAAACCACAAATTCCAATAATTATATGCATGATGTTATTTTTTGTTGATTCAGTTAATTTTTATTTATATCATCAAATTTATAAAATTATTATTTCTTCAATAATTTCTCAGTTACAATATGTATAACCACACAATAAATATTTTTTTAATCGGTTCAAAATAAAACAACAAAATATTAAAATTGCAATAACTCAACAAACAAATATCATGAACATAATATTTTACTTTTCAGGGCATTATTATTGATAACTTTTTTAAATTTTAATAATTATACTGTATTCAAATAAATTCTCAAATGTTTTCTTGGATAAATGTAAGGGTGATATTTTTCCAAGTTTATGAAAAGCTCAAAATTTGTGTCAAATAATTATCCAAATGTTGAGTCATCATGTTAGAAAGAATGTGAGAAATTAGAAAGTGAGCTTGACAATGTTAACATTAATTTTTTACACATAAGCATGAAAAGACCTATAATCTAATGCATTGGAGGATAAATTATTCACACACTTTCTATCTAAATGAGGTGGATAACTTTTTACTCTTTCAAAAGAATGCATTAGAGATGCTCTTACTTATTAGCATACCATAATCCTCGAAAAATATGGGATTAAATTATCATTTTGCATTGTAATAGGACCAAAATTGTTATATTATGCTTCCTCTATAATCATGCCAAATTTTGCAATAAGCCCTCTGATTGATCAATCAACAGGCCAACATCCTTCCAACAGGGCCAAAACCCACCCCAACATTCCTTCACATTTTATTGCTGTGATCGGCGACGGCCACGCTGTGCCGGCCTACGGAGACGGTGAAGTGTTTATCTCTTCTAATTTGAGATTTTCTGCATCTGTCTTATGTTTATCAATTATCCTCAGAGTGCAACGCCTTTTTCTTTGTTTT